CGAGAAATTGATATTGCTATCGCCTCGAGACTTTTCGAGGCTCCCCGGGCAATTTTTTTTCCTCCTGTCCTGCCTCTCTGTGAAAGCCAAGGAGTAGGCTCTTGGCAAGCCCGTCGTGGACGAAATCGCATTCCCTACTCTGGAAGCCATCCAGAACATCTTTGGCTTGACTTCAATCCGTCGCAAGAAGAGGAGTTGGTCGTCTAAGATTTCTGTCGTCAAGACAGAGCAAGGTGGCCATGCGCAACTACGTACAGATTGCTCGGCATCTGGCGTCGTGCATTATCAGACACCCCATGATCAAGCACACACAAGTGAAGGTCTTTGTTGACGGTAAGCGTGAGGAACAGACTCGCCTGTCGCTGGAACGCGCGGAGCCTGCCACGCTAGAGGAGGCTTTCGACATGTTCTCTGCGAAGACTTTAGAGCTACTAAGACCTACACCCAGCCTCTGGTAGTACCGCTGTCAGATCAGCGGCTCCGAAACCTATGAAGCTTTACGCGATTGAGTCGTCGGGTGACCGACGACGTGCTACACCCTACAAAAGCGACGTCCGTAGCGGCCTAACGTGATCTTCTTCCGACACTGAAAGCTGGGTAATCGCGCGGCGGATTGTCGCGCGTATCGCCGATGTTGGTGCATGTGACGGACACCCCTTATGAGGGGGATGCTCCGTCCACTCGTCCAAAAAAACGGACGAGACCAGTTGGTGCAAGGCGCCCTACTGGTTTATAGGGAGGTCCAGGTCCACCGGTGGCAGTATGACCTCCCGGACCATCTGTGCCGCGTGCACGGCTTAATGTTACCACTAAGAGTACTGATTCGATCCTGATCGTTGTCAGTTTGCATGACGCCGGTGTCCAACGACATCTATGAGCGCCCCTGGAATCAGGAGCAAAATATGGTTTTTTTGATACTTATGTGTCGACGCTGCCACCCAGCATCCAGGTTCACGAGGGAACTAGCCAAGATGTCGTCAAGCTCGCTGACAGGAAGCCACACCGTGTATCGCGGTGCGAAGTGTCACTGCCGTAAAAATTTGACGGCTTTCGCATTAACGACAACTTCTTGGTGATAAAGATAGATGCATTCGATTGAATCCTGGCCATGTCATGATTGGCACGTTACAATCCTAAGTTTGACTGGTGAGCGAGATCAGTGAGACAATTACGCAAGTGCGACGTCAGTGAAGTCTTTACCCATTTCTAGGTGTCCCCAAGAGATTGGATTAACGTCTATGTAGTGGATCGTGATTTCATGGTGCAGGCGGTGCAAAGAGCGAGCGATGGCCCCTCTGCACCAATTGTGCCGTTCTCATGAAAGAAGGTAACGATATCTCCTCGCTTTACAGCGAGGAGTATAAAAGGGGCAAGACTCGGCTCTTGCACGAGAAAGACGCGGTCAAACAGGGTTTCCTGCATGAGAGAGCAGTGGTCGAACTTGACTTCGACCTGGACCTATTGTGGTTGAGCAGAGGCTTCCACAAAGACAAGATGTGATCGAGCACAATCTCGTTACCGAGTTCGACGTGGACAGACATATGTCTACACGTCGTTTCATGATAGTAGAACAGGGATTATATCGTTACCCACCGTGCTTGAACAAGGGTTCCCATATGAGCAATTTGTGGTCGAACAGTGGCTCCCACACGATGTTAAGGCGGTCGAGCAGGGGCTCCCATGTCACGTGTCGATAGACGAGTATGAGTTGTTCCCGTCGCGCAATTTTGACATTCTGGATGAGGACGTCCTGTGTCTAGAAAAGGGGGGATAAGTTGTCACCTAGCTGCGGATCGCCAGCTTCGAACCTGGACTCGAAGCACGATGGGGACGCAAGCATCGAGTATACAGCATTGAAATGCGTCCACGCTAACGTGTACGTTGACAGGAGTCCTCAAAGGCGCTAATACATAGAAGTCGCGAGTCCACCTCGCGACACGTGGTCGGCTACGAGCCTTTTAAGGGCTCTCCTGGAAGCATTTCCTTCGTAACTAAAAGATAAGCAAGGTGGAACAGGTTTGCTTGGTCACCAATGATGTGACCCCTGAGCTAAACGAGGATTTTTTGACGCGCCCTTAAAGCGCTGAAACAGAGTCATCGCAGAAAGAAAGATTTGCGTCGCACTTATGGGACGCTCTACATGAGTTTGGTAACCCTGTCTACGAAATTACTCAAGATTGCACAGACGTGTTCCCGGAAAAGATGCCGGCTTAACTATCTTTCGATCGTGGTGTGCAGCACGAGATTGATCTCCTGATAGGTCCAAAGTAATGTGTGACCCGGCAGTGACCGTTGTATTAAGACCAGATATAGACCGCAAATGCATTCTTTGAAGGTCGTCAAAAGGTGGGCCGTGTGCGTGAGATTTTTTCTCCACACTCGAGCCCGACCTTCTGTGTGAAGTAGTCTACTTAAGGATGGTGGATAGTCCACGCATTTATAAGCTAAACGACGCCACTATTCCCGCACAAACACGCTCCCCAGTAAAGACATGGTGTTGAACTACGTGTCGAGAAGTATCATCTTTAGAGCCATCGACCTGACCGATGGCTTCTAACAGATTCTGATGCGACATATCACTTACAGCGGTGATCACACCAAGTGGTATGTTATGGGAGTGGTTGGTGATGCCACGACAATTGAAGAACGCATCATCCAATTTCAATCGCATGGTACTTCAAGTGTTGAGACCTCTTCGAGACTTTGCTTAAGCTACTTCGATACCATAATTGTCCCAGTCGCGTTGGGATAACATCAGTGCTGTACAAGTCCATCTTCAACACTTGAAAAGGTTTTATTAAGTCATGCTAGACAAAAATTGCATGCAAACTTAAAGAAATGCGTATTCTCTGCACCGTAGATTCCAGTGCTGGGCTGCTATGTGAGCAAATCTGTGGTTAGAGCCGATCCAGAAAGGTGTCGTCTATCCGTTCTTGGCCCACACCCAAGAATTATACCGAATTGCGTAGATGGCCCGGTCCAGCCAAATGCTTGCATAAGTTACCAATTTTAACGATGGTTTTATACAAATCTTTCTTCACTGTTATTTACAGACACAACGCGGTCGTGGCGTCCCAAGCATCAAGCGGCCTTCGACGAAGTGACGAAGATCTCGGCGTCAGCGCCAGTGCTGGTACTCTTGGACGATACCAAGACGTTTCACGTGGTGTGTGATGCAAGTAATTTTGCTATTGGTTGCTCCCTCATTCTGTGTGTTTATGAGGGCAAAGAAGAAACGTGAGTTGCAGATCGCGACAGATGAATTTGGTAAAATAGGACTATCCGGTTCACGATGAGAAACTGCTAGCGATGCGCTACGCACTTATCAAGTTTCGAGTACAGATACTGATCATGCATGGCTGCGCACAGCAATGAAGAGTCCACACCTATCTCATTGGATGGAACTGTAGCGTTCTAATTTCTTCGATTACAACTTCGTTGTGCACTACAAGCCGGGTAAGACTAATATTCTTGCTGACGCGCTCTCACGACGCTTAAATTACGACCCTCGGATGGCGCGGGGTCTTCAGACAACTGACGCAGACGACGAAGACAATCGATGTGCGGTGTGTGTGTCATTAAACTTGACCGGATCGAACCCATAATATCATTTTTCGATGAAATCGTCGCGGCTTATTCAAACGACCCAGATTAAGCTAGTATCATAGCCTATATGCGCGCTCCCAGTGATGTTGCACTAGGAGGTCTTTCGCGAACGTAGCGTGAGCACATGTAGTGAACGGTTTTTATTATGATTTACTGTCGTACAGCATCGATCAGTTCGATGCACTCCGAACAGTAATCGCGAACGAATTGGATCTGCGTGCTCGTATCATCCACGAGTTAATGATGCACCAGTTTGCGGTCATTTGGACCGCGAAAAAAAACTTTGTGGCTGTGTCGCGTAATTTTTACTGGCCCCAAATGTACAAATGTGTTTGTATTTGATTTTGCACATGCGAAATCTATCAAAGAGTGAAGCCATCTCCATCGTCTCAGGCTCTCCTGAGACCCATGTCGACTGCAGCTGAGGCTTGGCGCTCAGTGTCTATGGACTTTTTCTTCGTCAGTCACAACCGAGCGGTCACCATGGTCTATGTGGACAGATTTGGCAATATGACAAACCTGGTGACTGTTCACGCAACGATTACCGCGGCTGAGTCCGCAGCGCACTTCATTGATACAGTGTTTCGCCATCACGGTTTACCAGACGATAATTTCTCAGATCGTGATCCTCGCTTCACATCTGCGTTCTGGACCTCGTTGTTTAAGGTCCTTGGCACGAAGTTAAAAATGTCGACGGCAGCCTATTTAGAAACGGATAGGCATCCAGAGCGGAATAACAGGGTCCTCGAAGATGCTCTTTGAAGTAATGCTGCTTTCTTGACGGTTGGAGTGCATTCTTGCCAATCTCTACGTTGGCTTTCAACAATGCTGTTCACGCGTCAACGGGTTGACGCCATTCTTCGCGAATTCAGATCGCCATCCTCTATTTCCTGCTCTACTCGCCGTGGGTTATCTCACGGCTCTTCGTGGCTCCACTCTGGAGGAAGATGCACGTGATAAGCAACGATTGAAAGCAGCTCAGGTTATTTTGAGTGCAATTGTCGTCACCCGTTCCAAGGTGGAGTCCGCTGTTTTGACGCCACGAGACGTGGCGCCCCCGCTAGCTCTATGGACTGCGCAAACACTTATTGATCCTTCATCGGGAATGCGCTTAATTCAAGCCAACTACGCGCCGATTGATTAGGCGCGACAAATTGATGGCATGGCTCCGTCGGAGTTAATACTCCAACGTCAAGATCTCACGAGGTTTGTACGAGACACTCTTCAATATGTCCTGGATAAATAGAAAGAGAATGCGACAAATGTGTCAATCAAAAATGAGTGTATTTACGCAAGGTGACCGTATGTTGCTATCTAATGAAGGCCCACGCAATTCGGCAGTCATTAATCTAGGCGCAAGTGAGCTCGTGCCACGTTTCATCGGTCCATTCACGATGCTCCAGGCTATCGGCGACGCCTACACAATAAACATCCGTTCGTCGCTGCGACTACACCCGAAGTTCTACGTCGGACGACCGAAGAAGTACCGTCCGGCTACGCTCTACAAGTTGGTTCCATCCCTGGAGGCGAAGGCTCAAGCGTGGACCTTCCCTCCCGTCTTGCTCGACGAGCCGATGACATCAGAAGCGGCTGCTATGCAGTCTGCGCGTTTCCAAGAACGTGGCGTTCTATTTCCTAATCCGTTCTAGCAGTTCGTAGTTCGAATGTCGAATCTCGCTTGCAGTTTCCTCAGCCCGCGCAGCACGCTCAGTGGCAGCCTCGGCATCCAGCTCGGCTTCGACAGCCTGGTTTACCGCCACATCAACATCTTCCTAGGCAGCTAAGACTACAACGCTATCATCGCGAGGGCCCACCGCCGCTTGTTCATGCGTAAGGACAGAAGAAATGGATCGTGGAGCTCTTACTGGTTCACAAGGACCCTCGTCGCGAAGTGTCATTGTCGCGACCTCATGCACGCGAAGTTCCAGCCGCGCACTAGTATCGTGTACGTTGGCTCGGCTTTCCACCCGAACAGGATACGTGGGAACCGCGCTCCTCGCTTCTATAGGACGTTTCAGACGTCGTCTGGTCGTTCGAGTCAGATTATACGCCCAATATTGATATGGCTGACGAAGCATGTGTTCTCGTGGCGATAGGGAATGAGACGAACGACGACGGCGTCGTGGGGAAGTGTCACCACGACTTCGAGACCATGAGCGATGACTGTAACGTCGTAGTAAATGGTCACCACGACTACGACACCAGGATCGACGAATGCTACGTCGTGGTGTAACGTCACCACGCAACGAGACGGAGAGCGACGACGACAGCGTTGCGATGAACGGGTAATTCCGCGACTACGCGAACGAGAGTGGTGCCGCTGCGTCGTCGCGCCACGAATAATTGCGGTCTTCCGCTACTGCAAGCTGCGCTCATTTCTTTCATTCTAGATCTGTTCATACTCGCTAAGTGTATACTCAGCGACGTGCTGTCGCCAAGCTGCACGAGTTAGACGTGGCATTGAGTCACGATAGTCACAATGCTCGTGCACGTGGACGTAGCAGAGTCGGTCTACGTTCCGCGCATTCTCGCGTATCTTCTCGCGCAGCACGCCGATAGATTGATCGGCGTGAATGTCCTCGCGATTGGCAATCAACTGTTGGAATTTATTCCATCCTCAAGCCTTCAGTTCCACCTCCGAACGAACGCCCACCAAGAACGCTGTAGCGAGTCATGAGAGATGCCTCCAAGACAATTCCCGCAAAACCCGCGGAAGCTAGACAAAATCTTGCATTAGTTTATGAGAATCCGGAGCTCAAGCTCCGGACAGGTCGTGCAGCGTCCAAGGAATCAGGTGCTGATCTATCACGTGATCTGCTGAACTCCCGCTGATTGTGCGAGAGAGTGCTGTGACGTTGTTTCTTGCGTCTTTGGTAATCTTTGGTTTGAGCAACCGTTGGGGTCTTGCAAGTGAGAACTTACGGTGCGTGAGTGCTGTTTGGAGAATGGGGTAATGTAATGGGCCACTCCGTTACATATTTAGTTTTTAATTAAGCCTACATGTTACTTAAGTAAAGGAGCTTCTTCTGAATTAGTGGAATTAGCACTTCGTAAATTTTAGCTAATTTAATGGCTTGGTCCCATTATCAGCCGGTAAAATATCGGCACGTAGATTAAGTGGTTCTCATGAGTCCAAGGGAGCCATTCGTACTTAGGATGATAAAAGACACAAAAATAAACATACTTAAATTTAGTAAACACCTAAGCCTTAAGCTTTGAGGCTTCGTCAAATTAGTAAATAGTGTAAGTTTAGTACGGTTTATTGTAGCCCCGTTACAAAATCGATCGCGCCCATGACGAGGCATCTGTTCAAAAATCTTCAGCAGCGATTGATAAAACGATCACACTTCACAAAACTAAATATAGAAATGCCAACGATTGCACAAGCTGAACACAAGATCGTCTAGGTGTATTGCAGATCGTTGATCCCCCCGTGCTTCACAAGTCGGCACATCTGGGTTCTGTAGTCAATTTCGATTACTGCAGCACATTAAAAATTGCCACTTCTTCACAATTTCATCCTAAGCTGTTTTTACAGGTCCATATAGCTTTCATTTGAACATTAAAGAAAGCTGTTGGAGCTGAATGATCTAATAGAATTATATAAGCAAGTGTCCTTTAATCCCAGCAATTGGACCGTGGTAGACCTTTTATTATTATCATTATTAGAAGCAGCTTTATGTTCCAGGTCCAGCCTTCGTGCGGTTTGACTACCGGCATTTGATTTGTAATTCGTGAACGCTCGGTCGCACAAAATTAAAAAAGCGTCTTATTAAAAGTACAGAAAAATGCTGAGAAATAAGTTGGTTTGTTGTATGTGGAGAGCAAGGTACGACGGGCAAAGATAAATTCGTCGTACAACCTGTTAAAAGCTGATAAAATTGTAAGGCAGAAAATTAGTAATTGCATGGGCAATATAGGCGATAACATTGCTCCTTGTATGGAGGCTTGCTTGATTGACAGTGCATGTGTTTTGGGGGTGCTTCATTTCGTGTTTCGTATCGCTACGATGGTAAATGCTACTTACTACATTCATCTTTACAGACCGTGTTCGCGTCTATATTCTGCGGCCTTATCCTAAATACGGTACCAGGATTGACGTCCTGTAACAAAAAGCAAAGTTCAAGCAAACCGAAATGAGAACGGATATATCGACATCAGATACGACTAATCAATATGTACATGTATGAGTGTTGACGTACCAAAAAACGGTTAGTGGAGTTAGCAACTCGTTTAGTGATAAAAGAATCGCATTGTGTATATTTCTATAATTAATACTTGTTGTGTGAAGCCGGCTTTGAACGTTGTAGATGCAGAAAAATAGGACGGTCGAGACCGACTGTTTTCGATCTTGTTAAACGATTGTTAAAGGAGACTGCTTTGTCCTATTCCATATCGGCTCTACCTCTTCAGCAATTTCAAATATGCATACAGACGTGTAGACGCGGAAAAGGGTCCTTTCATAAATTAAAAAATGCATGTCCATCACAATATTCGTCAGTTTTGTCGAAGATAAAAAAATTCAATTTTTTGCTTCCTTCCATGGGAAAGATCATGTTAATATTTAGCCATAACGTCAACGCTATGCAATCGAGTCATTCTCGTGCTACATGCCGTGTTTCTTGCACTGAAATCTTGCACATTTGTGGTCTTGCCGGAGTAGTCGTTGCACTGACCCTCACAAAGTATAAAGTCCCGCCTGTGTACGCAATGAACTCCAACAATTTTTTTGAGACAATCTTAATGCGCGACGGTGATATTTATGGTACGTCCTGCTTAGAGATGAGGGTGATCTTGTCGAACGTCATACCCATCACATATGATTGGGTCCAAATCTTCTTTATCGATAACATTACATGACAAATTGCTGCCTCATTGAGATTTTTTTTTTCTGCTGGAGTGTTTTGAGCGTTTTTGCAGCTGTGTGTGTTAAATCGCTCACTTGCTGCAGTTAATGTCTCAATCAGGTCAACATCATGCAATTATCTTGCTGGCGCTGATAGCTTGTAACGATTGTGTGTGTGCTCTCCTTTCAAGTCCATTTAAAAAAAATCTTAGAATTACAAGGTCTTCACCTGCTACCGCAGCACCCAAGGACAGTGTAGTTAAAGTCCAGAGTATGTACAAATTTAAAATGCGGCTCGAATTTAGCAACACGACGTTAAGGACTTTTTGTGCTTGCTGATGCAATTTTTCCTATGGCATATCGTGCAACGAGTCAAATACGATGTCACTGTAATTAAATTCGTTTGGCCACCTACGATTCCTTAGGGTGCTTTCAAACGATTTCGTACACCTTACGCTTTCATACTGTGGACTCTATTTGGGTTCTTGCCTCCAAGCAACCTCACCACGATCATTTTCAGCGCAAAAAAAAGACTTAGATGATAGATGTAAGAATTTTGCGATAAGATTTAAATGTGGTGAGCGCAGTCTAGCTCAAACACTAGTTGTTTTTATGCGGTAGGCAGAATTGTGCAAAAAGCAGTCGTATGCAATCCGTCGGTTTAGCAACCGGCGCCATCAGCGGTAAAAAAGTTTTTAGCGTAGGAATTTACATACAAGACTACTGTCGGCTGCAAGTTTCAGCTACATTCGATTGTCAAAGTGGTCGAACATAGGCACGCGCGATCTATTCAGTGCAGATGATAGACACGTCAAAAGTACGATAGGTGCGTTAGCGCTCGGCATGGGCGTATGTTTGCCCGAATAACTTAGCAAGCGTTTACTGCTGACAAGTGGAAGGCAAAGTCAATGTAACTTTCTAAACTCCTTTGACAAATGCGCAGCATGTTTCATAAAAATTGAGAGAGTAATCTTTGGTCTTGTGTCTTCGTGAGCTGGACCGGTTCAACTTTGCGTGACAGTAAGCGCAGCCTAAGTGAATACACCATACACTTACCCTATTATAGAGTGTAATGAGCAGTGCTGGCATTGGTAAGTAGTGCCGCTGCTTCGTTTATAAGACACATCGGAGGCAGCACCAAGGGAATGGGCATGCTGCAGCTACGAGCATTAGCGAGCAAAAGTAACAGCGTGTCGACAAGAATGCACGAGAAGCTTGTCTGCTGTCGTGTGGAGCAAAGTTGTAACTTTTTTCTAAGAGTCGTTACTAGAGATGACAAGCCCGTACCATCCCTCGACTCACAAGATGAACAGGCGTTGCTGTGAGGCGCACTCTAGTTTGATGATTAAAAAGCTAAAACATGAGCTGCGCTTTACACGTGTACTCTTTGGCAAGCTGACGATCTGCATGCGGCTAATCTTCGATTACCAAATTTGTGACGATTGGGCTGATCGACCGGGTTTTAAAGAGCGTAAAAAAGGACGTGCTTTGGATTCAACTACGAAAAGTCCAGATGATTGTCGTGGAAGACATTCGCAACGCAGGACCGACCAAATTTTGCTCAACTAAGCCTGTGTCCGGATCTGAACGCTGCCTTCTATACAAATGTGAACACAGTACGTCGCCACGAGATAGAAACGTGTACGATTTTTTTGCACAGCGCCAGTGTATCTTTTCGACATGCGGTCGCAAAAGTATCAAACACAAAACCCTAGATTTTCGATTTGAACTATTTACAAGCTGGTTCTCTATGATTAGAAAAGGCTCTTGCCACGTCTGCCATGATGGCTATTTGTATACTAAAGACAGTAAGACTTGCGACGCGAATCCGCATCTTATGTTTTACATCCAGTTCGCGCCCCAAACCTTTAGCATAATCCGCCCTACCCCTACTACATGCTGTTACGGTGAGCCCACGCTTGCTTATTCCAAAGGTGTATGGGTCGCGCATGCCCTCTGCAGACACGCAATTGCGTTGATCTTTCGGTCATGTTTCCACAAACTTGGCAAATGCTTTAACCGCCAAAAAATGAGTGGCAGTGAATAAATGGGCAGGCAGACATGCAAGCGTTCAGTGTAGAGTCTCGTAATCGATGTGCAGACGCATTTCAGTTACAAAACCAGGACTGCTGCAAGCAGAGCATCGGCGCGTTTGCACACGTGAATGTGGCGTCGTCATTACGGTTGTAGAGCTTCCTTGTCGACGGGTGTGTTTCACACTCAGTTGCCCTTATGAGCACACTGGCCTTAAATCACGTCGACGTGCAAGCGTCCAAAGCCTTCAATCACCTTACTTCATGTACCTCACGTCAATCGACCCCTACCCGCGACACTGCGGACCTGTGTCCCTTGAAGCTCTAGTACCAAGCGGCAACACGAAAGTGGTTCAAGATAACAAGTCTACTAATTGCAAATGGTTGTTCGTTGTAACGCAAGCCCTTGCACTTGTCGTCATTGAGGTGGCAGGAAAATGTCGCTTGGAATGTCTCCGTTCTCGTCTTGAAAATCATGGAATGTACAGGAGGTTGCACCTGAGGGCAACTTGCCTCAATTTCCAAGATAAAGCGTGATGCGACACACGAACGAACAGCTATACATGTGTCGTATCGCGACGTAGGCTGTGGTTGGTGGGTTGTTCCGCGTTTCTGCTCCGGCCTTCAGTTCCAGTTCTCCCCCGAGTCGAGCTGAAGAGAGAGAGAGAGAGAGAGGGAAGAGCGAGTGACTGACCGAGTGACTGACTGACGGACCAACTGACGGACTGGCCCGATACATCGTACGCCCAAAAGTCGACTCGACGAGAAAGATCAACTGCCTCATGGATCTCTCGATGATCCTCAGTCCCGCCCTCGAGGAAGACGCACGTAGCGCGTTGCACGCCCCTCCTCCTCCTCCTCCTTCTTCGCTCGAGTGCAACCGCAACTGGAGCCTCGACGAGCTCCAGTGCGCCGTGGCGATCCTTCAGGACTTTCAGCAGCCGAGCGTCGAGCCGCCCCGAGACGCCAGTTGGGGCAAAAGTGACGCCGCTTTCCACCACGAGCAAGAGAGGGACGTGCGACTCCGAGCTACCGACGATGACGATTTCGACGGTGCTGCAGAGCCAGCTGGTCGTGGGGAAACGACGACGACGACGACAAGTCATTGGAATTCAAACGAGCTCCAGGCGCCCTTTTGTACCAAGAGCATGTCCAAACTGGACCTACTGGTTCAAGCAGACGCTGTCATTGACCACGACCGCTCCCAAGCTCCGGCTTCTCCCCATGACGACAAGTCGTCCCTCCACCTCCGCAGTGGAGTCTGGTCCCGTGCTGAAGAAGAGTACGCGATCGCACTCGTAGGGTTCTTCTTGGACGGACTTTTGGACGTGCCAGAGGGCATCACTCTCCGCAAGTATGTCGCAGAGAAGCTCCGCTGCAACCGCCGTCGTGTCTCCATGAAACTCGGCACGGGCTCGTTGGCAGGCCAGAAAATTCCTAGGAAAGTGGGGGCCTCCGTGTTCATTGCTGCCGACCCGGCTCCAAGCAAGAAGCAACGAGAGGAGATCGAGTTCGTGCTAGAGGAGCTTCGTCAGGCCAGTTTTGACACTGGGCAGTGGAATAGCAGTCACTGTGACGACAAGGACGGAAGTTGCAGTCATTCTCAGCACAGATTGGCAACGCAACGTGGCGAAAGCGAACCGTCTTCTTGCTCCAAGTCAACTAATCATGACCGCAAAAAGTACGCGTCGAAGCCTAAGCGTGGCAAGCCGACGATCATCCGCACAGGCTTCGAGTCTGCCGAAGAAGAGAAGTTTGTCATTGCACTCTATGAGTTTTTCATGGAAGGGTCGCTGGATATACCCGAGGGTACGAAGTTGGTGCGTTATCTGTGCCAGCAACTAGAATGCACACCGGTGCAGCTGTCCATGAAATTAGCACCTCCGCGTATGGGAGAACGCAAGCTGCCCGATAATATCGGCTCTATTCGATATGTGCGTAAGGTAGCAGGTGCTGCCTTGCCGGATGAAATCGACGACGATGATTTCGCAGAGGAGCTTTTTGAAGTGGAGAGCCGCATTACGGAGCTTCGACTGGCCTGTGAGGACGCGCGGAAGAATGTCACTTCGTTGACAGCGACGTCTGTCAAGCATGAGCGCAAAAGCAGTGTCGACAGTATGTCGAGTGCAGGAGCTCTTAGCTTGGCTACTTCACCAGATACAAGCCCAGTGCCCGCCTTTCGGCGCACTGGCTCCTGGTCATACGAAGAAGAGGTGTATGCAGCTGCGCTAATCGACTATTTCTTCAAGGGGGTGCTGCGGATCGCTGAGGGCACAACGCTTCGTGCTTTTCTATCGTTGCGACTGTGCTGCAACCCCATGCGTATATCAAAGAAGCTTGCTAGTGAGTGCATTGCCGAGATCTCCATCCCGAAAAAGCTGGGGAGTTCGACTTACGTCTGCAGTGCGGAAGCGACTTCGGACGAGCAAGACGAGGCAGAAGAGACCCTTCGCAGATTACAGCATGCGTGCATGCAACCGAGTACTGGTAAGAGCGGTGCTGTCTTGGGCTCAAAGCGCGTGCGTCAATCTCGTGGTCCCCGCCATCAAGTGCTGGCTTCTACAAACAAACAGGGTTTCGGGTCCGATTCACACAGAGCCTTGGAGTCACTTGCACGCGAAAAGGTTCCCAAGAAACTCCAAAGAACAGCAACGAACCAAACGCCAGCAGCTCGGAAAGAGCAGCGGCGACGTTGTCATGCGCCTCATTCTGGCTCCGCGCTTGTTGTGGCGGCACCGCTAAAGCAGCAATTGGCATGACTCGGTATGTAGGACCGAGTTTATAGGTACATTCATGTAAATGTTGAGGATGCAAGTAGATTGTTTCGATTTAAATTGTTTTGTAAAAATCAGTATCCGGAACTTTACACGTTACGACAGTAGCACAGCAGCGTCTGAGTATCCGCAAATCGACGTGGATAGTCGACTTGCGTGACGAGTCGCTTGACACATACGGTTGATGTGCTATGAGATACTAATGACAGGGAACTTCAGCGTGATGGCGTAAGCGGCAAGGCGAAAAAAACAACAAACTTCAGGTCTAAGAACGACTTGTCTTTGAAGCTCAAACTTTTACCGCACCAACCTATCTCTCGCAACTCGCCCGCATCCAAAGCGTTTACTTCTTGCCTTCGTGAAACAGGAAGTACACGCTGAAGAGAAACACACCAGCCATCATCGAAAAGGCCGAGGCGTAGTACGGATAAGCGGCCGGGATAAAGCGCTCGTATTCGTCGTGCTTGAACGGACGCAGCGAAACTTGTGTCGTCGTGTAGACCGTCGACAGTCCCAGGCGGCGGTACAGCACACGGAAAAGGAAGATACCGTACACATCGGGCGCCTGGAAAGTCACGTGGAAATGGCCTTTGTTGTCATGGACCATCGTCGTGCGCACGTGAGGATCCAACATCACGAACTCCAACTGCACGTCATTCGCCCTGTACGGCACCCATTTTCCGTCCTTTAGCTCGTGCAAGTCGAAAGAGTACGTGAGATTGTCCTTCACACGGTACACGAGCGAATCCCGCGCGACTTCAGCATCCGGATACAGCGTAATCGGTTGGTCCCCACGGTGAGCATCACTCAGCATCTTTGCCGGCAGCGATCCGTCTTCGCGATGGTGCTTCACATTGGTCATGCGGAGCACACCGCTCTCCTGAAAAGCCCACTTCGTCACAGCGTCGGCGAACTCGGCGTTCGAAAACATTTCGTTGTCAAAGAACTTGTCACTAAACAGGTCCAGCGAGCCCGCAAAGACAAGGCGTGCGTTATTGCGGCCTTGAACAGCCGCAACGAGACCAATCTGATTGCCGAACAGCAGATCGTTCGTCACGACTGCATCCGTGATGGGCTTCACCGGGTTAGCAGAGTACGCGCTGGCAGGCGCTATGAGTGCGTGAAAAGCCAGAACGTTGTTGGGCTCCAGCGACATGCCTATGCCAGAAAACGCCACAGGTTTAGGCTTCGAAGCCAGCGATCCAACGACGCGCTCCGAGGCCACAAAGTCTTCAGCAGCGATCACCGAGTTGTAGATGTCACCGTCGTCCGGGATCGGGTTCACGTGGTCGAGCACGACGTTGCCCCGCTTCTCAAACTCGATGCCGCACTCCAGCGCAAAGTCACGCTGTACCTTGGTGAGCTTCTTGCTGGAAGACAAGAGCACGTTCCCGCCTTCCTCCACAAAGTGCAGCAGGTCCGACTTGCGTAGCGTGCCCAGCGCCTTCTGCGGCGTAAAGAGCACCAAGTTGTCGTACGTGCGCTCTCCGTAGCGCTCCAGCTCCAGCGGCTGCTCCTTTTCCTGCTCTTCCCCTGTGAAAAAGTCCAGCTGATGACCTCGATCTGCACATGGACATATAACGTATCGCGTAAATTCCAGATTATAAAAGGTCTAAAGAAGCGGCTGGACCACGGTGTCTGTGCATGTGCGACGCACCTTCGAGCAGCTTGAAGAACTTCGAGTGCGTCTTTTGTAGCTCGGGGGATTCGAGGACCACAGCAGTGCGCGCCGCCTGCGTGGCGACCACCGTCAGGGTTACGCACACACCGGACAGAAGAGAGCGCCAAGTCATGGGGTGGAAGTATGGAAGTGCCGCGTGTCAAAGGGAGAGGCTTTTTACGGAAAAGGGCAGATATCGGTGGAGTTGAGATTGTTGCATTTGCAGGAAATATTTTGAGTTTACGGATAATTCGTTATACCCAATTCTCGCGATTTACAACAATATACCCAAGTGTATGTTAGATACTGCGCTATTGACAAGATGTCGACTTGTCAGATGTCTCCGGTCGCATAGAGCAACAACTCACCATTTTTTGGCCCCCCTTAACCACTTGCTCACCGCCTTATACGGTCATCTGACATCAATGATTTCGTTACGGTGTGATTTCTATCACGCTCGAGAATATGATGGCAATCTGAAACTTATCACTTGTGGCCTATACTATAAACGCTGCACATCGCAGTAGTTTACGATCTATCTCGGTATTTGCCTGAAGTTTACCTACGCTACTCTACACAGGATCGTTTTACTTGCTCACATAGAACATGATAAAGACCAACGTACGCTATTTTGTACGAGCCATCAAATTTTACCTTTGGCTGTCGGATAGTAGCTGAACGCCTTTTATTGTGGTCTCGATACTACGCCAACTGACTTGGAGACCGTGGTCTATGCTTGGTTTCGATAGATTTACAATGACCACCTGTTGATATATTCCAGTCGATATATAGGTGGCATTGGTTAACGCGGGCCACGATCTCTCCACCATGCGCAAGTACACTGAAAGTACTGGGACCACTCGTCGATACGCTTGATCATTAGGTTTCGTGCTCAATACTTAAAGATTGACATATCTTGTGAGCGAATAGTGGAATGTCACCATATGATATTGACAATAAAGTACCCAACTGGTACTTGCTGCAGAAACCTACTCATACATATCGCACTTAGTACGAATGTTATAGTCGCTGACGTGTCATTCCTTAATTTGCTTTGCAAACTGGATTCACGTAAGTACAGTAGTAGATATGCTTGTATGGGAAATGAAAAGTGTTTTGAAGATGGGCATTATATTGTAAGACGTTACGGCTTAACAAGAATCAAATTGTGGTATACCTATGCCAGGGCTGTAATGAACTCTGACCTTCTAAAAATTAGATCATGAGATGGTTGATTTTAGCTCCTGTTGAGTTGCGATTTATCTGCTATCAACTATAAGGTAGAAATAGGAGGTCTCTACACCAAAATAAGGAGAAGAATTGATTAAATTTTAGTGATAAATCTTAAACGCCAATCTTTTTTTTCAAATTTTATGATATATAACTGATAAATTTGTTTAGATTTATTTCGCATGAAATCTTACAAAATACATACTAGGCTAGGGTGATAATCAAATTCAAATAAATAACCTTATATTTGCAGAACATACTTTTTACCAATTAAAACATATCCCCAATAAGTGTTTTGAAACTCAGGGCCCTCGGATTAAAAGTCCGGTGCCCTAACAACTACGTTGATTTTGAAAGATAAATTTTTTTGAATGCATTTAAAAAATAATTTAAAATATAAATGTTTTTAAAGTCAAATTTATTTGTTTAAAGGACCGTTTTATTTACTTCTCGACAAAATTTAATGAAATAATTAGGTTTTTTACTTTTTTTTCGTGTAGGTTTCCCCTTTGTTATATAAATCATTTTCGATAAATCTTGGTAAAATACGTAGTTTATGATATTTGAAATTTTTTTAAGAAAGGATTAAGTACTTTAATGAATCTTTGTAATAATTTTGCTTAATCAATGTGCTTTCCTGTTAAAAAAATTGTTTTATTTATTCTACACCCTTTTTACAAATAAGCACCCACTATGATTAGACAGTTATCGCTCTGATTGTAGGTTAAAATAATGCAATCTTTCCAAGAATCCTTTATTTTTAAATCCAAATTCGGATGCAGTATTTACACCTTCTAAAACAAACTTAACTAACAATCAACTACCAGAGATTGGTCTAAATTGTGTGTAGAAATGTTTCCTTATCAGTAAAATTTTCTAATACACGTCGAATAAAAATTACCTAAGTAAATTGTGCTATCATCGTTTTAGCATGTTTGAACCATTTTATAAATCAGCCAACAACAGGATATGGTTACATTTATTCTCATTTTAGGTTAGATTTACTTTTACTTTTGCTGAAAAAATACCATGCAGTCATACGTTGTAGTTGTTTAATCACAGGTAGAACGGACCCCATCTAGTATTATATATCCTCGCAAGCCAGTTAACTGTGACACTATATGCATCTCCTGGTGGCCTGGCGGCCACACCTGATGTCATTGGGTTGGACAGGTCATTGCCAGAAGAAATTACTAGCGGCGGCATCGCAGGAATCGCTTGCGGACACTATAATTTAAAAAGCGGCATAGATAAATTTACATAAAATAAATGACTTACGTCTGTGATAGTATCCGATATTACTTGTTACATGCTAATGAATGTAGGGCTACAAAAACCTTCCAATGAAACAGGTATCCAAAATAAGCAAAATGGTTGCACATAGCTTCTAATAGCATTCAACTGATGCAAATAAAAGTTTAAACCTTACAGAAAAATGGATTGGTAAAGTGTAAAAAAGAAAGTCGACAAAGAGACAGGGGTGGCGGCGATAATTATAATAAATGAATACGGGTGCACTTTTCTGCATTAAAAGAAGCAGCAACATAGAAATTACTCGACGAAGATGAGGAAGACGTATATAATAATCGCAAAGTGAAGTGTTGTTTCAATTATTTATGTGTCGTATTGTAATGCTATATTTGCTTGACTACCACACGACACTTCACGTTGCTAATCTTTTATTATTGCCATTACCAAGTGTCGAAATAATAAACGCGCGATTACGTGATTACGACTTCCGCGCGTACTCCAGTCAAATGTTCTTTAATAGTAGCCATCCTACGTATATCTCCGCATAAATCAAAAGCCGCTGTGGCATCTACCCCGCTCTCAACAACCTAAGGATGCGTAGTCCCCAAAGCGGTCATAAAATGTGTAACGCATCATTCTGCAGTCGCATAATTTTGTCACACTTATGCAATAGCAGAAATAATAAGTTGTATCGGTAGAACGTATCGTAGATTGATATAATAAGATTATAAAAATCCGGAAGACTGTTGGACGAAGCACAATCTTAGGTGTTTGCACGATTGTGACTTCTCCATTGAGCAAAATGGAACCGTACTATGTAATATGATTTCCGAAGAGATTTAAACAAACATGAACCAATCAGAATTGGCCGTTACGAAAATCTACTAAGCGAAAGAAGAAGGAAAATATTTCAGCCAAAACAGGGGTGAATTTAACAACCCTCCGAAAAATAAGATTATACTCATAGCCTGATTAACTAATGCGCCATTAAATAAAGCTTAATTAAGCTCGTTTTGCCAGCGGTGTCCTATTTGCCCAAAATCATTTAGTATCTTTTATTTTAAGCCGAGAAATCAGTACCTCAAAACTGATCAGTTTTTAGAGCGTTTCACACAGACACTGAGAATCCTCCAGGCCACCAGTGGGTTAAGGTTTACAACCTTAGATAACTTAATGTTTTTTTCAAATTTCTTTTTCAATGTACGAAAAACATATTCTTCTACTTATAAAAGTGAGCTGCCTAAATGAGACGCTTCTTTAGACCACTTTCACGCAAATTTGCTTCTTAAATTTTGTCTTCTTTTTGTTAATTTTATTGCATGTATTATATAAAACAGTGCACGTCAATGCATCCTTAGAAATAGTGATTTTATAATCAAATGTGTGCACCGATTCCGAGCGCCAATCAAAATTTTAACGAATCTCGAAAATACAGAGCAATGTGTGCGCCCTTACAGTGTGCTAGGGCGAACACGAAGGAAATTCGTACTGATTTTGATTCAGTCCCGTTTTCATTAGCATGTTACACGAAGTGTACAATGAGATTATGGAATGCATGGTATCGAAACAATTTCTGCTCATCGGATCTCCTAGATGTTCGATTGAAAATAAATGTTAATTAAACTAACTTAAGAGGTTGATTCAAATGCAGTTCACAAGAAAATGGAGGCTGCGAAATATTTTGATCGTTATACAATTCGCTATGGCACATTTATAGGTGTATCGGCCTCTACGCTGTGTGGAATACGCCAGCGCACTGACATCATGGCGACGACGAACGCTATCAAACACCGGATGACGGAGGAGAGCAAGCGTGCAATAGGGTCTTTAAATATTTGTTTTGTCAAAAATATGACACAGCTTTACTCTCCTATGTATGGCGTAAATTCATCTCTAAGAGAAATGGTTCTACTTCCAGGAGAGTTTCAGTAATTCCATCTGTGTTGAAGCAATTCTGACCCACTCCGGCATTTACGTTGTCCATTTAATATTCAAGCGGGCGATCAGTTTGATTGCTTTTGACTGGATTTTTATTTTTTGGTGATGTAAAACAAGAGGTTCATCGGAAAGGTGATTCTTTCCGTAGTCAGGCCGAGAATTAACTCTATGAATGAAACCTTGGCTGATTAAAAGCTATACATCTGGCCTTTTGGATAGTCGGACGGTCGCTGTGCGACCGTACGCTAGCTTGGTCTATTTTAAAATCAAGCCGTTTACTGCCTTGAAAAGAGTGGTGAATGTCACAATGTTTTTTTACAAATTCGACCTTGCGGTAGCCGCCAATATTCCGCGTCGCAGACAACCTGGCGCAATAAATCTAATCCAGGAAAGTTTGCAGCAAAACTATAAGAAGATAAATCGAGTGTGAGTGAGGCTGTCCGTCAGCTGCGTCTCTGTCTGCGCGTTTTGTACCAGCCTCCTTACAGCCTATACTTTTACGTGCTAGAAATAGGCAATTTTTATATCTATTCAGGCTCTGTATTACGAAGTGGCGCCTTGCCGATTCGACGAGTTGAGTAGATGATGTCGAAGATGCGTTCATGGATCTAAATGTATAATAGAATACTATTTTTTGCTGCAGTCGTGCATGACTGCAGCACTAAAAGATGATGGTGGCAATGCCAATGGGCGACCGCATTAGAAGAAAGACAT